AATATATGTCTTTGATTATTCTACTGTGAATAAATAAGAACTTAATCATCAAAATAAAACTTTGATCAAATATATGTTGCGATGATGAAAACATGTGGATTGATAGTAACATCGGCCTGTCAGAGTAACATATTTCATGAAAGACAAAAGTTTAAAAGATTTCCTTACGTTATATAGTGAATGATGCAAAATGATATTTTTTCGAATAGGAATTGTCCGTTTGTTTTGCTTTTTTCTTTATATAAGGGCATACAGGTATATTGTGATATACTACACAGAAAGCAAACAAGCTGCATCTTTTGATATATTCGCATCGAACAATTATTATAGTAGAAAAAAAAGTGAGCCATTCGTAGAAGTTTCGGGTGTGGGTGTGGGGTGTAGGTATATGTGTGGGTGTGGGTATGATGTTTGGGTGTGGGTAGTCTCGAAAAAGAGAAGTACACCGACACCTGTGCCCACGCCCACACCCTCAGTTTCGATGGATTTATCATAAATGACTTTGATGGACTTTTCTGAAGGAATATTATACACATTTTCGCTTTGTAAATATCATCGAATTGATGATGGTGATTCTAATTTAGCCATCATAAAAACAATTTCAATTCGCAAGTGCAGATCAATCGGCATTATGTTTTTGAAATGAATCACATGTTCGGTCAGTCTTTCATGATTCGAAGAATAGTCAGTTATCCTCTACACAAATAACTCCGGGAGAGCACATCGGTTATTACACAGATGGAGTAATAATCTTGCTATTCAAAAACTGTTCGTTGGTGGCGGAAAGACCAAGTCAATGATCAATGGATTGGGAGAGGTGCACCCATTTCATGGACTCCACAGTCACCTGATTTATCGCCATTGGACTTTTTTCTATGGGAATATATCAGAAAAAATATTTATAAAACAAGATTTAAAGATCTGAACGATTTAAAAACTCGAATAGCGTAAGAAATTCAATTAATCGAAAAAAAAAAACTTTACAAAATGTTTTTCTTGAAATAGAAAAAAGGCTAAATTTTAGTAATTCACTGGAAGATAATACCTTTGAACAGTATTTATAAAAATCGTCTTAATAAAAAAAAAAACTCGGCGCATTTCTCTATCGTTTAAAAAAAAGTGGTTATAGTGAAGTAAAATAGTGAAGATATCCTTAAAAACTTTTGAGAAGGGACTTTCGGGACACACTGTATTACATACAAAAGTCCAATGTGTAGTATTATGTACTATCGGGCAGTGTTATGCCACTTAATCGAAAGTTGGATAACTGTTCGAGTGGGAAAAAGTGGAAATTCATTGAACTACTACTTGCATAAGACGTCTCACCATAAATCTGCAGAGAAATTATTTTTGTGTAACTGCACACAAGAAGGATCTTTTGGTAAGGATTGTGAGTATCAACTCCTCTTTAACACTTCATCATTCAGCAAGGCAATTAAAATATCGTTTGAGACAAATGAAGCTACTGAAGGTCAGCAATTATGGGGCAATAATCTATGTTATACGACGTTAATTTGTAATTATGGCATGTTATGTCTCGATTGGAGAAAAAATTTGTGATGGGCAGCAAAACTGTTTTGATAGACTCGATGAGGAGAACTGTGATAAATTGGAGTTCAATGAATGTGAGAATGATGAGTATCGTTGTGTCAATGGAATATGCATTCCAGAGGAGTATTGACTAGATGGTATATTAAACAAATATGTAATGTGCAATGGAGAAAGATCAGCAACTAAAGTTATTTATAAAATGGTGTGGTTGACTAAGTGTCATATCAAGCGATGCATCAATTAGAAAGATTAATCTAGATTTTCATTTTCCAGAAGGATCCAAGAAATACATTGACAGTGTTTTAGGCTATCAAATGGCAAGGAAAAAATAGATTTATTGATTTCTTTTTCAAAGTCGAAAACCATATTGATTCCATTCGAGATGACTATCATCAAAACTTCTGCAAATTATTCTCGAAATATGTCGCGCCTAGTGGTTCGTGTGTTACTTGTGTAGCCTTACGTCAGATATGTAGCTTCTTCATGATTACAGATACAGCTAAATTTTCAGAAGGGCGTTAATACTCATCAGTAGCTGTGAAGATGAACTACAGAGTAGCGCAAAGGGCGACTTGAATGGGAAAAAAAATGAGTATCTCTATTATGGCTCGAGTAAACAAGTTGACTTTTTTTGTCAAGGATATGGACATATTCAAGCTTTATATCTATACAAGCATGTCGAGGAAGACTCATTTCGTAGTTGAACATAGGCTCCTGAGTGTATATCTTTTTAAAAGGTAGAAGTTTACTTGATTACAAACATCTCTAAAGGATTCCCCATTTTTGTGCAGTTTTCATGAGAATATTAAGTTCTTAGCGGATTTTGTCCTCATGGATCCGAATTGGGTATGGATGTGGGGTGTTGATATGATTTCATATTATCTTTACCCACACTCACACCCAGTAGACCCTTTTGTATTTTAAGCCATTATTCTAAAAAGTTGAAAACTACTGTGAGAGGATAGTATCGATGCGAAGTAGAATTTTTCAGTAACAGAAACGTATACTAAAGAAAATCCGATCAAAAAAGCGCATGAAATATATTCGATGTACTGTAAAAAAAATATTTACTTTCCTGAACTCTCCAAAAAGGTTTCGTAGTTATTAATAATCGTTTTCTTAAGCCTTTGAATGCATTTGGAAGCTTGTAGACACCTATGAAACCTTTTTGGAGGGTTCAGGATGGTATTTATCTTTTTTTTTAAAGTGATTGGTGTTTGGTGCATGTATAACAACAAAGAAGAAATATGTTTTTTTTCATTATTTCAGTCTTTTTACTCATTCTTCAGATGTATCACGTCAGCAAAGATGACTCATAAAATAAGCATGTGCTTGTATGCACAACGTGTAGTAAAGTTGTGCAATAGGACAGAAAAAAACCAACAAAAATAAGAGAAAAAAAATAACGCTAAAGATAAAGCAAAATTAAAATATTTTCGTAAGAAATAAAATCGTAATATTGTCGATCAGTCACATTCATTGGCACACATGGCTTTTACTGACAGAAAAACTTGTTCTTTCGAATCAGATGATACATTGAAAGAAGAACAACTGTTCAATGCTATTGAATCAAATAATGTCACTGTTGTGCAGAATTTTACGAAAAATGAACTCCAACGTTTATGTAACGTACGTCGTCTCTTTCCGTCTGAATGGTCCTCACCGGACCACGAAAAACAAACAGCTTATCAACGTGCATGTCTTCTTGGTCATACAGACATTGTGCAGTGTATTCTCAATGCTGGTATTCCACCGGATCAAAGATTCCCCGGTGGTGATTCACGTAATACTATGCGAGGAGCATTTCTATTTGCTTGTCAAGCACGTTCGATGTCAACAATTACAGTTTTACTTAATGCTGGTGCACCAGTTGATGAACTAGGTTCATGTTCTCTTAATTATGCTAATTCTTTTGTTCCTGGTATTCGTGTATTTAGTTCATTTGAACGTGACTCAGTCTCTTGGGAGAATCTCTATCCAATTC